GAAGGTATCTTTCTGGTGACGAGGACCTAAGTTGAGCTCTGGATTATCATAATTATGTACCTAAAATATTAGATAACTAGCAATAGTCACTCACACTGTCAAAGCTTCTCTGGAAGGAAGCTTGCAGGGACTCCACCAGACTATTTACAGGACGAAATGGCAACACACTGAGGGACAGTCACACAAAGCAGTCCCCAACAATGACTAGCCACTACTTGACTATATCCCACTCCCCTCCTAGAGACCAGTGAAGATCAAGGCTCAAGTCTGTCCAGTCCCTGAAGCTGCTTGTACTTTGGGAACGTTCCTCAGATGGACAAAGACTGCAGACAGTCTGATGAGCTAAGCCGGGGCTGACATAGTGACTACTTCTAACTGGAGGCGAACCTGGCTTCATGACAACCCTCCCTGTTCATTCCCACAACATGACAACGAGCCTTTCATTCACGTAGTTTCTCCAAGAGTCTGCACTGGTTATTCCCAGTTAATGTTTCCCTCCAGTCATTGAAAGGAAAGGAGCAGGAAAGAAGTGGTGAGGGTAGTATCCAGGCCTTAGAGAAAGGAAATTAACTCGCTTTAGTTTTACTTCTGATCTCAAAATAACCCCTTTCAGCTATTCTGAGCAGATGGGCTCCAGGAGACAAAAGAGCTCCTAAAGCACTGCCCTCTCATACACAAACTACACCCATCCCTGGCAGTCTTGGGCACATTTTTTCCTGAGCCCAACTTTAAGTTCTCACGACACAGACACAAGACCCGTCCTCCGAAAGGGCCAACTCAGCACGCTCAGTGTGCCACACACTGTTGCAGCATTACAAAGAGGGGCAAGGAGCTGCAGCCATTGTACCTGTCTTAGTATTTAGCACGGATGTTGCACCTTAGACCTTCCAGGTGCTGTGTAACTCCCGCGTAATGGAATAAGTATCCTCTTGCCCATGGAAGGGTCTGAGGCCCCTCCCTTGTCCTTCACACCTAGGCAGTCCCCTTTTAATCAGCTAGGGACCCAGAGGTTACATTCAAAACTTTCCATTCTTCTTCCTGCTTTTAATCTCTTCTCCACAGCTAGTTTGAGTTCTTTTTTTCATTTCTCTATATCCTTCTAGCCCCAGTGGACAGCTCCAGTGACTGCAGTCTCCTCCCCCAGGTCCCCTCCCCTACTTCCTACCTAACATACCACCTATCTACCTGATGGTATCACAGATGCTAAAAACACCCTCTGCCACACCATTTCTGTGGCTGCCTCACCCCCCTGCCTTCATTTATACCCTCTAGCTGGCTCCCCATTCCCATCAAACAGTTTTGCACCACATTTGAAAGCAGAGATGTGCACGGCCTCATTGCCGTTTGCTACTTGCCAGCCTCCCACTTAACTAAACCCCTTTTCATCCTTCCCTCAGAATTGCTACTGCTCTTAGCTCCTGCCAAGCCACCCTCCTGGCCTCCTCAAAGCACACTGCTCCTTGGACTCCTTTCAACAGGAGCTAATGTAAGACATTACAGCACAGAAGCCTGCGCCAACATCCAGTGCATAAACAAAGACCAGATACACAAGAGGGGAGAATACACTGTCAGCATTTAATAACAAACACTAATTACAGACGGCAGGGATGGAAAACTCCGTCCCTGTTCAGCCAAAAGCAGTCTGAGCCAGGAGATGCGGCCATTCACAAACCAGGATCCTTTAATCACTGAATGCCCCCCTCACAATCACCATGGCTCAGTATCTGCGCCACCAAGCAGATAGACAGCCTCTTGGAGTTTTGTGTGTCTCACTAAGGACACTGAAATATGATTTTAAGGCCATAGGGAGGCAATTTCAAAAGCCTCTTGGGCCTGCCACAGGTCTGTGACCCTGGCCAAGTTCTAACTTCTTCCTCTGCCTCTTGTTTTCCTGAGAAAATTGCTTTATGCCCCATGCCAGAACGCTGTGGTGTGTGCTGTTGGTATGCCACAACATTTCAGTACCTCTAGTGAAAGATTCTGCAGAAGGAAAGATGACTTCTTTATTAAAATTCTGGTTAACTACAAGGGCTTGTTCTCAGCACACAGAAACTGGTGCAGAGAAATTCTAAGCATTTTCAGTTACTTTGACCTATCACCTATTACTCCATACAGATAAATAAACTGGCCCCAAGAGACAGCAAGATCCACATCAGACACACTTTGGGTTCTCCCGAATAAACAGGCAGGTCCCTTTCATCCATGAGCCCCTTTTAGGAAGGGCATGCATTTATCTCATAGGAAACGTTCTTCTCACCACAGCTAAAGATAGTGTCAAAACTCCTAAGGAAACCTGAGAGAAGAGGAACACCATGGTTCACGGTGAGGCACTTCCGGATGACTTCACAGCCCCCCACAGCACCTGTTGCAGCCTCAGACTTTACATGAAGCTGCCATCAGCTGCTAAATCCCCAGAGGATGTGGGATGGTGGGCACAGGACTGGGGGTGGTTGAGCATGTCTAATAGCTTGGTGCTGCCAGCTAGGTCAAGTCTCCCTTCTTAAAACCATTCTCTCCCAGTCCTTCTCCCAACCCGCTGACCTGCCTTCACGCCTTATGCTGCCTCTGGTGCTCCTCAGACACTTCAGTTGAGCCAAGACAACTGACTAAACCAGCAGAAAACAAGTCATTTCTGGGAGTTAGTTTCCTGCCAGGGGAATGATGCAACTCAGAGGGGTCCAAAGAGTGCAAGGTAAGCAGCAGGAGCTTATAGCTAGGCATGGGGAGACAACAGGGTTGAGATGGAAGGAGAAGTAGGACCTCCCTTCTCAGCAGTGATGAACTGTTTACCTCATCTCATGGCATCGCACCCCTTATTTCCAACAAAGAAAATAACATCTCTTAAAATTACAGTCAACTGCAAAGACTTTGCAGAATGCTTTAGGATGCAAATGGATTAAAAAAAATGTAGCAGAGAAATGTAAGGTCTCTCTGGTCAACACCCTTCCAAATTTCTACATGCTATAGGGTTTCAGCTCCCACAGACACTCAGGGTGATGATGTGAATGCTCTGAGTGAATCACAGCTGAGCTTACTGTCCCAGTCCATTCAATGGCATATGCAGTCAGTACTACATACTGCTCTGATCCCTGCTGTGCTTCTAGGCTGATTTTTAATCTACACATCCCTTCAAGATGCAGGGTCTCAGCTCCCTTCAGTATCCACCTCTCTCCTCAGGCTCTGGGCCAGCAGAGTGAACTTGCATAGTTACTTAGAATAGTTCATGTGAGAGTTTCAGCTCTTGCCTGGCCTTGGAAACTCTAGTAGTTTTGACATTGTTTGTCTACTAGATGAGGTAAGAAATTAATGGCTGAAAGAAACAGTGGCTCAGAAACAGCCACTGTTTCAAACACCCTGCATTAATCCACACAAAGTTTTACGTTTACCAGTAGTGACCAGATCTACCTCTGTGGAAAAACTTAAGATCTGGAGTCTATTGACCTTCATACCACATTGCAAAACCCACCTTTCACTCAAGCTTATGTTTAATGAGATGATATGAAGTGCCTAAGTAATGGGATATAGTATTCATATGGATATAAAATGCCCAAGCAAAGGTCCAGTCTGTCTCTTTTTCCTCCTTATCCTGCCCCTTGTGTCTCACGGCTTTGCCCCTTTGCCTTTGCTCTGACTCTTTCTTGATCCTCCCATCAGCTGACAATTTGAATTTTAAAGCCATTTACACTCCAAAAGGTGCATAATCAGATTTTTATCCTGTACTTTTCTGATGAGACTTTTTTATTATGACATCAAGTACTGACCCATAATAAGGACGTAAATGCCCATTTTAATGTCTATTACCAGTATCTGCAGATGCATATAAAATTATAGTATCATCACATAACTACATATTAACCTCTTGAGCTCCATGACAGACGAACTCTCCAGAGAACAGTGTATTCCAATTTCCAATTACCAGCAGGAGTTCAGTGACAAGCCGTAGAAGTTGTACTCTGAGAGCCTAAACACTGAAGGTACTTGCAGGATAACAGAGTACTCAGATTCTGAACACGTGAGGTCTGGCACTTCCAGCTCCCAGCTATTTGTGATAAGTGTCTGGGTCCTTCCCATCAATGAATACACAGTGACATTTAGGTATACATATAGGTAGGACGTAGCTTGCCTAGAAGTAATTTGTACATTTCGGTAGAGTTTTATGAGTCACGGCTGCACAAGATCTTCACTTTACCTATAGTGATTACCAGCAAGAAGAGAGGTGCACAACAACATACCACATGTAATCAGTTTTTCTTCTGCTGAACAATATAAAAATGCACTTTGCTCAGAAAGTGCCCATTTAGCACAGGTGTAAAGGTGCAATGTGTGAGTAAGGGAGCAAGAGGACCACGATGCTTTAGAACAGGGATAACGATACCGTTAAGTGGAGCTCCCTGCCTAATCTCCAGATGCTAGCTGTAAAAATGCAAACATTCTGATCTTTCAGGTTAATGGCATCTGTTTACATCAGAAATCGGGTACTCAGCTGTGAGCAGAGCCTGTCAACCCATGCCTGACACAAGAATCCTGCCAAACCTTTGAAGGTTTCCGTTTTGGCTTTTTTAATTGTGCACTGATTTCTCTAAAAGATTCAGACCTGAGAGGAGGAGAGAACAGAACAAAACATAGGAAGTCAAAGACAAAGTTAAATCATTTTTTCTTAGTACCTTTCCTGTTTTTCCTGATACAGCTCAGTTAGATGTTTGATTCTGGGCCCAAAGCTGCTCTCTGATCTAGGGCATTCCGCCTAAAATATGCACAGAGACTTCTGATATTTTAACTCTGTTGAATTGGGCACTGACAGGCAGCCTATTATTTGTCAAATAACAGGAAGATATTCTGCACTGTGGTCTGTAGTCATTGCTTTGGTGTTTAGGGAAGAGAATCAGAGGACAGCACTTGAAATATCAGTGCAAGACATGAGTCAATATTCATATTGTCCTAAGCTGTTCAGCTAAAAGCACATAATGTGTAATTGCTCTCAAGAGCAATTTTTCACCCACCTATTGCTCGTTCCTGAGTTGCAGTAGACAAGCTTTTCACAGCAGATCCTCTCTGATACTAGACATTTTGGCTGCTCTTCTACTTTCAATTCCTTTGAAGTCCAGAAAGTTCATAAATTCCTAGACAGAAAGCATATTTTGGGAAGGTAAAATACCCCACAAGGGGTACCATACCAAAAATCCTAACTTGAAAATAAATAAATCTTATGTAAGATAGACATACACACACACACACACACACAATGGTGGCAGATACAAGTACTTAAGAGTGAAAAAAACTGTCATCCTAATTTGTCCCACTGCATACACATTACAATAATGTCAAACTAAATGATCACGTATGTTTATGCTCTATGAGACCCCAGCTTCATTCAGAGCACAGAACACACATCTCTGGGCAAGCAAAAGCTGAAGAAGATTGAGTCTAACTCATTTGTTGCTAAAGATGGAAAAAACGAAGCACAAAACTTCCGAAAGTTCTTCCGAAAGGTCTTGAGATGAAAGCACGTGACTGCCAGTCATGGTCAACTGCCTGTCTGTTGTCTTCTCTGTGACACTGGAGAAGCCAGAGAGAGACTTCAGCAGTGACCACAGAGCTCCTCACAGCATTGATACATTGTGGCTGGGTTTGCAGAAGCTCTGAGCACTCATAGCTGCTACTGAAGTTGGTAGGAAATGCAATTTTAACCTACAAAAGGCTACAAAGCAAGCCACTTCAAATTGCCAGTCCCTGGGTATCTCATCTTCAGCCCTCAAATTCAGACACAATTCCTAGTTTTTGCTTTAATCACTCTGACTTAAATTCCTCATCTATAAAATAAGGGTCACAATAAATCCAAATTCTCAGTGCATAAATACATTCACTACCTTTCTAAACTATCACAGCAGGAGGGACTCTGAAGACACTAACAAGGAAATTACTTTTTCCCTCTTCAGGTACAGCTTGGATGTTGTGCAGTAAATAAAGCTTGAAGTCAGTCTAAATGAGGTTAAAAACAACAACAACAAACCCAAGTAGCTGTACATTCAGCAAAACTCAGCTCTCCTACACTGAGTGATGCAGGGACCTTGGGGGGGATAAATAAATAAATAAATAAATATATTTATGATATATCTCTATATATATACACACACACACACAACACATATATATGTATGTATGTATGTATGTATATCTCAATCTATATAGATAGATAGATAGGTATAAACAAACCAAGCAACTGCTTGACTATATTGTAGTGTTCATGCAGAAGAGTGCTGGATGACAGTAACGTCAGCCACTTGAATTGTAGCCTTTTGTATCATGACAGCGCTAATTTTACACAATTTTTATTATTAAGGTACTTGCTTGAACATCTAAATAAATGGAAGTCAGAAAGCCTGAGGCTTGGGGTTGTGCAGCAACCCTACTTATGTGGTTAGGAGGGTGGTAAATGCTACCTGCCTCATGACAGTCATGGGCAGCTGGGTGCTGCCCCTGAGGAGTGGAGGGGATCCAGCACCCTGAGCCCCTGCACTGTTTGAGCGCAGACCGCTGGCAGCCCCTCATGGTCCTGACCCCATCCCAGGCTTCAGCTCCCACACTCCATGCTCCCACTCCTCACTGTCTCCACAGCACCTGAAAGGACCAGCAAGGGAGAAAAGGTTCATGAAAGCTCACCTTGCTGCTGTTGTTTGTATAGGCTCCTTTTGTGACACTCCACATAGCCAGGAAAAAAAATCACTGCACTTTTCACTCACCATACAAAATTCAGCATTAGAAGCATCTTCGGTTCTGGCTTTGTCAGAAGGGGACTGCATGGCTCCTCAGAGCAGGGTGGGATGAGTTCAAACACTTGCAAAGCACATGGTGAAGCAGAATGAGAAGAAGTCCTAGGGCAATGCTGAGAACCCTTCAGGTAGCTGTTGTCAAAACTACTTGAAAAACATTGGTGCCAGTGCTAGCATCAATTTAGCAGAACCACTGGTTCATTACTGCTGTTGAAGCAGATATGTCGGGAGGAAGAAGCTATGACACTTCTCAAAATAAGATTCCTCTGACTAGAGCTTTTCCATTAATACGATGCAATTTTAAACACTCATTTTTCAAAAATCCATGTGTTTCATCTTCCTAATGGTAGCAGCTCCTTACAAAGATCTGCTCCTGTTCTCATCTTTAGATATCTCCCTGTTGCTCTCCACTAGGAGTGAATGAAAAGAATGTAATTTAACATTTTGAAATGCTGTACTACTTTTCATTTAAGAAAGTATTATCTAGTATTTGCCCTTACTGGAAAATTACTTGATTTCAGGAGCAATCTTGTACCACTGGATTTGAAATACCATGTATTTAGATGTGTGAAATCCTCCCTTATAGGTAGCAAATCTACTTGTATTCACTTGTGGTTGCAGCTGATCCTCTAAGCTGGAAGCAAGCATAGTCTGGAAAACATCAGAAGTACATAAAAGCCACCATTTTGTTAGGACCCTACAGTCAGCCTTGCCACTGGATTTGCCACCAGCTATTCAACCTGAACTGAGAACTAAGGATATGAGAACAAGAGCCATTCAGCTGCTTTAAAGAAATGCCTCCAAGCGGCAAATGAAATGCTTCATCGTTCAGAAACAAATGTAGGTAGGTGGAAGACCAAACTAGCTCACAATGATTTGTAGATGTCTGCCAGTATTTTTTTTTGACTGCTGCCCATAGTATGGGCAATGCCCATGAGAGAATCTGTCATTAAGAACTCTTTCCTCCTTGCTCCCAATGAAAATCAGCACACGAGGAACACTTCCCACTTCTCAGAGATAAAGCTTGCAGATGAGAGGAAAAAAAAAAATACTATTAAAAATTGGAAAAAAAAAAAGATATTGAGAACTTGAAGCAATTTCCAAAGGATCTTGATCTTTTTACTTAAAAGTGCTGGATCAACTTGGAATCTAGTTTTGTACAGTTTATCCTTGGGAACAGTTAATGCAGAGGGAGTTCTGTTTTGTTCCTTTTACAAGTGTGCATTACTATCAAAACACAGATAAACACAAGAGAAAAGTCCAAGTCCACTGCCCATTTGATCTTTGAAGCCACCACTTCCATGGTTAAAATGGTGCCATCCAATCTTAAAGGGATGTTAGTGCTGGTAAAATGAGTAGATAACTTAAAACGTCAACGGAGACTGACCTGCTTGCTTAAATGAAGTCCCTTTTGAAACTGAGCAGACCCAAAGCGGTGACTTGGACGAAAGGTTACTCAGACATGAAAGGTTACTTGCGAAACTCTGGAACTGTTTCAAATTCCAAACAGAGAACATCACAATAGTCAAGAGGTGAAGTTCTGACAAACTGGGAAACAAATAAGGTCACTGCAAAAATACAGAATAGACAGGATAAGCCACCTCAAACCCCTCACTCTGGAGTTTGCGTTCAAAGGCAGAAAAGCATAGTAACTCCCTACAGACCTTTAGGTTACAATTTAAGGAAACAGTCAAGGAAGCATGTGCCTTATGGATGTCCCAATACCATAAATCCAGTTGAATGTCACTGTGCCTTCCCCTCTCTCACTCTGTTCAGTTTGCTTTGCATCATACAAAACATTTATTTCACATATTGCTTTTATTTCCAGTTTATATATTTAGAACAAAGATTCCGCAAGAGCCTCATTCAGAGAATACATGTCATGTTTAAGACAAAGGAATACAAGCAAGAATCTTCCTTATTTACATGTTACCCAAAAATAGTCCTAAAAATCCAGAATCTAAGCCTTACAGAACAGTTATGTCTTATGACCACATAAAATATTTGTGACATGTAAAGTGCAGCTCTTCAAAATTTTTGGAGAGTAGACTTGTTCATCAGCTATCTCTAGATAAGCTGCCTGGGACAGAAGAAGGAAAACCTAAAATGAAACTAATGGTTGCTAACTGGCTGCTGTTGCCAAACGTAATTCCAAGACTTCAGCGGTGCCCAGGGGATCAGGTCAGCCCAAATCAGTCTCAGTTCACAGCACTCTTAGAAAAGCTTCCAGCAGTGAGGGCTCACATACACCATTCTAGGCAACGAAAACAAATGCTAGCACTAGACGTCAATGTCCAGGACTTAGGATCTGAAGCAACAGCTCAAATGTGGCACTGTTCCATCACTGAAATTTTACATTTATTTTGAAACAAAGAGATTCAGTTTGATGCATTTTAAAGCTGAACTCTCCAAGGTCACTGCTCTCTAATATTAGAGAGCATACTGCCAGGAGAAGAGCACTCTCTGCAGTCGCATCATCTCCTCTCAGATGAGTGCAGTAGAGCTCTTCCACAGGGAGGAACCTACCATCTGCTCCTTCTGTGTCACAACAGAGGCTACAGGCCACAATGGGGGCACCTCTACAGAGAGGCCTTTATGTCATGAGAGAGAGAAGCAGAAACAATTACCATGGTGAGCAAGAGACAGATGTTGCATACTTTTTTGACAAGAGTCTTGTCCAGGTAATAAACCCACAGATCCTCTCCCCTGCCTGTTCCAATTCCAGCACAATGTGCAGGCAGTCCATATGCCTGAATGAAGGAACCAAGACAGCTGCTCAAGCTGAGCGTGCACATGATAAGACGTGCACGTGGTCGCTAACAGCCAGCACAGTAAGAAAGGGGGAATCCTCACCAAGAAGGACCTTCAAGTGAGTGATCATGGTTTGTCTCAAGATTGCACAACCAAATATCATTACACTACTCAGAATTAATCAGGTGTGCAGAAGTGCTGCTCTATTTTCAGTTTGCCCAGGTAAATTCTTTCTCGGCTCACCTTCTCATGCAAATTTCATGACAAACTTTTTGGTAACACCACTGAACTTCTACCATCATGATTTTTTTCCTGTTTGTCAACAGGATTTTGCAACAGACCTCCTCCTTAACAGAGGGGCAAAACGGCCTGCTTTTTGCTCTGCAGTTCTAAACCTGAAGCAACTATCATTTTGTATAGACTGACCTTCACCATAAAACTGACCATTCAATATCTTTTAGATGTCTCTGTTTATTTCAATAGCTCATATTTGGCTATAGCAGTTCTTCCAGAAAGGCACTGATGTCTTCAAATCAAAGTCTGAAGATCTGAAGATGCACAGAAGCTACCACTTCCCACAATACTTTGTTCCAACAGTTAATCAGTCCTCACTGTTAAAAACTCATGTCCTATTTCTAACTTGAATTTATTTGACTTTAGCTTCCAGGTCATTTATGCTCATCTGCTCTAGACTAGAGACCCTTTATTACCTAGTATTTTCACTCCCATAAAGAACTACCTACCACACAAGCAAACTATCTCTGATTCCCTCCTAACAAAACTAAACAGACGGGACTCTGAAGTGATCGGAATTGTAAGAACTGTCAGTACAAAATTGCACTGTAATACAGCCAAAGGAAACACAATGCATTTTGGGATAAAGAATGAAGATTATACTCTAGGAATCTGTGCATTGAAAAGCAGTGATAGGAACTTTAGATTCTGAGTCAACTGTATGAACACAACGTCTACAACACTGTTTAGCAGTGTTAGGGCAGCAAGGGCTAACATGATATTTATATGTATGAATATGTGAAGATCAAACAGCAATAGGGAATTATTCTTGCTTCTGTAAATACTGTTAAGTGCAGACACTAGAAATAAATGCAGATGAATGTGGGATACCGGGGACTTTCATGCAGTAACATAACTAAAGGTTGAATGACAAACTTTATAATGTGAAGCTTATGCAAAATGGTTTATATGGGTTACTGTATTACACAGGACTTGCTGACTGTGTACAGGTAGTTATACAGGAAAAAGAAGCCTAATTGAAAAGGAAGAACAGGACTTTTCAACCTTACTGGAAAAAAGCAAAGCAAGAAACAATGCCTAGATGGTGATTTTAGGCGAAATCTAGTCTGAGAGAAGATGTAATTTTCTAAAAAAGGATAATCTTGTAACAAAACAGATTACCAAGGAAGATGAGCTAATTCTTGTCTGAAGTTTTAAAAACTAGGATTAGACTTAAAAACTAGGATTAGAAAAGAAATCTTTTTTGAGTCACAGGACACCAGGGCTAAGAGAACGCAGTAGAGAAGCATATCCATACAACTACCTTTTTCTTACAGTACTCCATGGGCATCCAATGCTGGCGTCTGTCAGAGACACAATACTGCGCTAGAAAGACCTTCGATCTGACCCAGTGCCGCCTTTCTTATGCTGTTCATCACATTCCTTCAGCGGTTACAGGGAAAACAGGACAGCTTTGCAAAACCCTGACCATCCTCATAATACTGGCAGTTCTGCTTTAAGACAATGAATATTCTGGGTCACACTTACAGGGGCCAATATTTCTTCTGACTTGGCTTCTTGGCTTTTATATATATATATATATTTTTTTTTTTTAATGTGGGGAGGTGACATAACAAGCTGTACTAGTCTCTACTTTCCACTTTGACCCATGCTTTGAGTTGGTACAAGGATTCTCTTTCTAATATGCAAGATTACACAACTCTCTGAACTGACTGGAGCCACACTAAAAGAAAGTTTTTACAGTTGGGAAGGAATTTTATTTGTGATCAAGCTGAGAAGGATGTTGAAGCTTCCCTCTGTCTCTGCAACATGAGTCCATGTGTCACCTGATTGAGGGCCAGCAATGCATGGGTATCCAAGCACCAGTGACTGTTTAGTCTCCCTGAACTTGCCTACGGCACAGCGTAGTATTTTAAAGAATGAGATGCTTTGGTGTAATTAAGACACTATGTTCTCTCTCTATGCTGAGTTCTATCCTTGTGTTGTGTAAAAGTTAATGGTCTATACTATACAGGAGGCAAGTCAAGATTATCTAGAGCCACCTTACGCTTTATGCCCTAAGAAGCATCACTGTAAAGTTTTTTTCCATACTTTGTGTTATAAGAACAGGATGTCTCCAACACCAAGCAGATAAACTGGACTAGAATGCAAAGGACAAAGATAGAGTAATGCAGTAGCACAGTAAAAATAGAAGGAATCTGTCCTGTACCTTTGATAGTCTCCTATAACATATTTTGTCTATTATAATGTATTTTCTAAATAAATTACTGGTAGCATCCTTCATTATTGCTTCACTGAAGTGTTCTCTGGCTAGGGTAACCGTTCCTCAAGACATCGAAGTTTTCCACTTTACACAATTCCTTTTTGGTTGCCATGCACATACATTATTTTTTGTAGCATCATCATTCTTCAGTGGAAAGGGAGTCAAAATATAAAGGCACATGGTCACCCTTTTTTGCTGCCGTGCCACCAATTTCCCTTTTCACCCTCAGAGCAGCTGTCCGCCATGTCCAGAAAGGAACAGCATGAGCTTCTACAGCTTGAAGGACAGCACTAACCATCTCAATGTCACTATTCAGAAATGCTGGCAAGACACATCTTTGCATACCACAATCATGAAGCTAATCTATCATTCAGTAGCATTAATCCCAGCTTCTCAAGAGTTTCCCTCCAACTACTGTTTTCCTGCTTTCTTCACTCTTTAATGCACCTTATCTTAAAATCACAAATCCTTCAGGCCAGAAACTATGTTCTTTCTATTTGCACCTCTCCAGTGCCTATCAAACTGGACCCTAAGCTTCACTAGAGCCCATAGGAACTAAAGGAAATGTGCAGAGAACAACTACTAAACATGCTCCTCTCATCTGTTTTCTCTTCCACTGGACATCCACCTTTTTGCTGTATATAAATGAAGCCCTGTTCACAAAAGGATGCCATTATGAGATTGATCTCTATCATTTGAGCAGTCATGGCACAGAAGAGGAAAAAAAAAAAATCATATCTTCTCAAAAGGCAAGAAGGAGGATCTGGGGAATGACAGACTAGTCAGTCTTACCTCAGTACATCTTCATTATGGAGCAAGTTCTCCTGGAAGCCATTACCAGAAATCTGAAGGACAAGAAGGTGACTGGCAACAGCCAGCACAGAGTTATCAACAGGAAACCATGCCTGTGAACCTGTCTGCCTTCAACAATGATACGACACATTCTATGGAGGGCAGTGGATGGCATTTACCTTGATTTCAGTACGGTTTTTGGCAGTTTCCCACAGTAGCCTTGCAGTCAAAGTGGGAAGCTATAGACTGTTATGCTGTAAACCTGACGGACTTTGTAGTTTCTGCGTCCAATCAAGGGTTTGAAATCTAGTTGGTGGCCAGCTTTGACAGGCATGCCTCAGCGGTCAATACTGAATTAATACTGTTCAATGTCTTCGTTAACAACCTAGACAAGTGGACAGAACATACTCTCACCAAGATCACAAATGATGGCATATGGAGCGGGGGGAGCAGCAGCTGATATGCCAGAGGGTAGCAGAACCATTCAAAGGGATCTTGACAGGCTGGAGGAATGAGCTGACAGAAACCTCATGAAGTTCAACAAAGGTAGATGCAGATTCTTGCACCTGGGACAGACTAACCCTGTGTAAGACACAGGCTGAAGACCACGTTGATAAGAAATATACCTGCAAAAAAACCTGGGGGGTCCTAGTGGGCAAGGAGTGGAATAAGAGTGAGCTGACTACCTTTGCAGCAATAACTACATACTGGACTACTTTAGCAGAAGCACAGCAAGCAAGTCAAGGAAAGTTATTAATTCCTTCTATTCAATAATCTTGAGATCACATCTGGAGTATTGTATCCAAACATAGCCCCCTCCCACCCCAAACACAAGCAGAACAATGGCAAGCTGCAATGAGTTTGCTTCCTCCAAACTGTAGTCGTCTCTGCTTTCAGTGGTTACACTGAGTTTCCTTTTTCTCCATGTTACCACTTGACTTAAAGACCAAATGAAAGCATCATGTCTATTATAGATGCTATTTTCCACAAAAAAGTTGCTTGCAGGAATCCCAGCATGCACGCAGCTACTTTTCTATGAAGATGACTCGTACAGGTATGTACATGCATATAAAGTGACTTACATTATCCCCAGCTGGAGATCACACTACTCATAAAAAATTCCACTGGTACAATCGATTCCACCCTAGTGGTTCCCATAAAGGACGTTAACTCCAGTTCTCAGACTTAGACGTTCTCCTGCAGCCTTCAAAATAGTATTTATCATGCAAAAAATCTTACTTATTTTACTGATATTTACTTCCAGATGTCCTTCATCTCTTCCTCTTTATTGCATTATATAAGTACCACTCATCTAAATGAGAGCAGGACAAGAAATGGGAATGTTAAATAAGCTGCATAGCTAAGGGTGAGAAAGGAAAGAGAACCTGCCTTAGACAAAAAGAAAAAAAACAATGTGTCCAGTTCACAGGAATGCTACAGATATTTAAATCTGAATCAACCTACTGAAGTCGGAAGAAGAATTTAGATAAATGCCCCCGGAATAACAAGACGGGATATGACACGTGACTCATCTAGCTTGTCAGACACTCAGGAGAATCAAATTTGGTCCAGAGCCTGGCTGACCTGTAAATGGATTCTAAACTAGAAATAGGAAAGATAGGGCAGTTGAGAACATTTGAGTCTCCTGGCACTTCCAGGAAGTTTCCATGGCAGGAAGTATGACTTACAAACACAAGGCCTGATATAGTTACTCCTCAGTAGTGCCCCAGGTATGTTAAACCTTTAAAGGCAAGGAAGACCTCCTAGGAGCTTACAGCCTAAGTAAGGGCTTAATCAGATGAACAGTGCTACTGACCTCAATAGAAAAATCTGATAAATTATCTTTCCCTGTCCTTAGAGAAAAATTATGTGAAGTCTGGAAACCCCCTTCCCAAGAGCGAGACAAAGACTACTGATACCCTAACAGCCCAAACACCTTTCTTATGAAAGTCTGAACTGCTTAGCAGTCTGAATGAGCCTGTTGAATAGATTTAAACCGAGCCAAGTTATGGAAGATATTGCCTGTCAGTGAAAGAGCCTGCAAGTTCGTTACAAGGATTCCAAACTTAAAATTGATCAGCAGGTTGACAGGAGAACCCCTGCTTTCCCTTCAGCGTGCTCACAAGTACTAGACAGTCAAGCTACCTTTCTTTGGGTTTACCTTCTCTTTATATGCTCTAGATTACCGGCTCTCCAGTGCCGAGACTTCCTATACTACATCTTAAGCACCATTGAGCCAAGTGCTGTAGAAAATAAAATAACCCAATGACTATATAAAAACAAGAATACTCTCTCCATAAAACCCTCACAGCTCGTCCTGTAATCCAAAGTGACCTCTGTACACCTTTAGCAAGGTAAAAAGGATTTCCCTGTTCTAAAATGTACCCCACACACACACACACACACACACACACACCAAAAAAAGGTTTTGAGAGGGATTTACACGGGCAGATCTGACAGTTTGCTTGGGCTGCGAAATCTAAATCCAATTTGGATCTCTCCCCAAGAATAAGTAGGTATTAGGGGATCAGACACGTACAGCAACATATAACTGCATTTGTCAATCATGATTTAGACTGAGTCATTCATTTTTTGTTTTGTGTATGTTATGACTATTTAACATTTTAATGCAGAATTAAAAATAAAACACTGCCTTATATGCTCACAATCTGTCTCTCAGCTACTTGATTTATAAGTAAGTGAGAGCAGAGCATTGCAAAACCACTAAAAACATGCACAATCTCTTATCTACTTAAGAGTGCTAACTGTACCTCCACATTCAAAGTGAATTTCACATGCTTAAATGATCCTGTCTGAAAGTTCCACTCAGGGAGGAAAGCACTAAAGCTCTGTGCATACAAATGCCTCCTATTTTTAAAAGATTTAAGAACCAGTGAGGCCACTGGCCCCTTGACACATGCTATGCAGGCATATATTCTAAAAAATGTAGCCCAGTATAAGCTCCAGACAGAGTCATTCAAGAAAAATAAGGAGAGTCTGATCAGGGATACAGGAAGAGGGGGAGAAATCACTTTCCATATACTCTGCAACACAAAAGGTAACAGGGGACCAAAGGGAAGGGTTATGGAGAGAAGAGACTCTCTCCTATGTATGCTGCAGCATGAAGCATAATCATCAGTAGTGGAGATACCTCCAGCAGATATAACTCCCTCCTTTTGAAGGGAGGGAAAACATAAGACAGAAGTGGTCTGATTAGTTCCCAGAATGTTCTGAACTCAGGTGATATTTTAACATTTTGTTTGGTGGAACGTCAACTTCAACAGCAATTGTCCTGGAATGCAATGACAGTCACTTTTTACATTATGCACTGAGGAGTAGAAGCTTTGCATCTCCTCTCTCGTACTCCAAGGATATTCAAGGGCCCAAGTTCCTCTCCATGACACCAGCTTGCACATTTACGTCCAGGTAGTTCTCCCAACTCCTCATCCAGCAGGAGATTCAGGAAAGAACAAGCAATACACAAGCAAGACTAAAGACACTCAGAACAAGGGAGAAGGAAAAGCCATTATGGGCCATACTGCCAGTGAGCCAATGGCAACTCCTGAATGGACAAGCATCACGTTTGCTTCTCTAGAAGCAACATGAGTCAAATCCATTAGCATGCAGCCTGATGACATTCAGCTAATACAAAATTCAGGTTCCATGTTTCAACCCGTTTGCATTCCTTCTCATCCCCCAACCAAGAGTTCCTGTGGCCTGAGAGGGGAGTGGGGGGAAGACTTTTGCCTCCCTGTAGCTGCAGAGGGATTTTTCACCTGAAAAACACTGCATACAACAAACAAGCAACATGTCCATGGGGTGACTTAAGATCAAGATCTGAAAACCCAAAAGATCCTGTACATGCCACTGCGGTCCCAACACCACTGATTACCTTTCTTTAAACAGATTCACAAATATGATTTAGGTATGTGGGGCACGCAGATCAGTCTGGATGATGGCACGCATCACGTACCAATACTGAAGATACCGCTACTGCCAAACAAGACATTTGTTGGATACAGAGTCCAACACTTCCAAAATCCAATAAGCTTTTATGAGTTGCAACGCTTCCTTTTAGCTGTATCCAGGGCTCTTCTCCGGTGGCATTTTAAAAAAGTTAGTGGAAGAAGCAACAATGGCTTTCTCAGCTGCTGGTGTTTTCCCTGTCCACTCACAGCTCTGGGATCTTGGGGACAGTGTTGCTAGTAGGTCTGAGTCTGCAGCGTCCACATGGACAGACAAAGTTGCTGGAATACAAAATTGGAGGAAAGGGGGAAGAGAGGAAAAGAGTAGGAAAGGGCAAAAGAACAGAGTTAGAATTAGTGCCTGCCTCATAAGATTGCAGTAATGTAATTGTCAGCTACAATCCTCATGTTTCATTTCTTATAAGAAAGTGTTATTTACTGAGGTCCTGCAAGTTCCCCTCCCACCCCCCGCAAAAATTTCTTTGAAATATAAATTCTTGATAGCTTTAGCATCCTTGCCCTAATGATTCCCACATTCAGAACTCCAAGTTCCCAGTCCACAAACTAGTTTCCTCAGTCAAAGCTCCTGTTAAAAATCAAGAACTTTAGCTCTCCCCTACTTAAAATTGATAGATTTGTAATCACTTAATTGACAATAACTTGACCTCTACACCCAAGGCTCAATTAACCCTCTATCTGAGAAGTTCAAAGTTTCTGGCAGCTTGCCAAATTTCAGATCGGCAAACTCAGTTAAAGAAAAAATATAGCTCTCCTCTTCATCTAGTACAGACACTACCATGAACCTCGACATCCATCCAATAGGACAGATCAGCATATTATAACATGAAGCTACCTGCTAAACTGTGTTGGAATCCATTCTCAGTACAACCACTGCTCTGAAATGGGACAGGCTATAATTAGCAAGAACTATTTGCAGATCAATAGCTCAACCCAACAGCTACCCCAATTTCCAGAAGGATTCTCAGTAACCTAAAGATAAGATAGTTTACATCCCATTCTCACTATCCTAAATCAGTAAGTCATTAGCAGAGCAGAGAAGAATAAAAATGGGTTGAAAAAACAAACCAGAGTCAGTAATTGCTAAAAGAGTCTTGGGGCAACCAGAATTTTTTTTTGAACGCATAATTGCTTCGGCATCAAACACACCTCATTTTCATTGTATTCTCACAACAGCTAAGAGTCGTGTCTTTTTATTACAAGTTGCCTCTACTGCTCTGCAATGAATGAGGGACAGAGAGGCCAAAACCAGTCTCAACTAGAGGACTTACTGCTAGGAAATTTAAATATAATGCTGGTATCAATGGTTTAGGTTATTGGTTTTGTAGGCCTGAAACTCTAACGATCCTGCTCCTGCACATCTGAAACAGCGGAGTCATTCCCATACAACCACAACAACACAGCTGATAATGGCATATTTCATCTCTAGGCCATCAATTCCCTCCATCTGAAGGCCATATGAAATATGCAAAAAAAATATAAGTCAAAGTCCCTGTTACAGGTTTGTCCATTAACTAATAATCACCACCAATACTACAATAAAGGCCTTCACTAATAGTGTCTAGACTCAGCCTCTCCATCTTTGCTCCTGAAAAGAAAAGAAAGCAAAGGACTAAACGGGCTTCTTGCTACTGGGTACCATCACATCATGGCAGACAGTGACTGCATTAGGAAGAAACAGGAGACAGAAAATTCACCAAGCTGCTGCTACTCATCTGACTATTCTCTGGTAAGAGGCCAGCAGTTTCCAGATGCTGCCGAAATGGCACCTTTTAGAAATTATTTTTTCCATGATCCACATATGAATGCATGCCAAGATAAACAAAATCTATTTATGCAGATTTTTACTCCAGACTCATCACTGTAGTGCCTGAATAGGATGCTAGCTACCATGTGCTGTGCTACATACATAGGTGACTGGACCATGTAAACATTAAAAACATTAATGACAATCTACGTCAGATCACTTTCAATCCAGCGAAGAACTACATAGGTGTAAATAAAGTTTTACCTAGTACTTGTCAGACAAGCTCCACTATGCCACCTGGGACATTATTCCAAATATACTGCAATGAAATGGAGACTAATAAACACAATGACATCACCTATGCCTCAAGAAGCACCTAAGTCATAGATCACTGAAAGCTAGGGGGACCTGTATCACCACATACTTTCCTCTTCCCTAGGCACTGGCTGTTGGTGACCGAGTTGAATGAAGAAGGTCTAACAAAGTACAGCCAGTCTTACTCGCTCAAGATTTCTTCATTCTATTGCCTATTTGGACCAGTCAGATTTTTGTTTCTTCCCTGGTGAAAACTTCATGCTCCAGGGCTTGCACACTACAAAATCATCTAGCTTTGAAAATAAGAGCTAGTGTTTTCCATCTCTCTCAACATCGGAGCAGCAGTGCTCAACTCATTTCTTAAAATGACAGTCACTTCCTAAAGTGTGCCTTCTGAATTTTCTACCCATTTTCCGTTGCTCTCAACGGCCAGACATTTTACCCAAAATGCTACTCTTCAACAACAATCATCTCACTTTTGGTATTTTAGGCCAATTAGCCTCAAAGATCAGGACTAATTGCAGAAGCTTAACGCTATAACAATACGATAGAGATCCAAGCACTTCTGCTAGAGTAGCGCATGCATCTTGGCAATCATACAAGCGCCTCTGACAAAATATGCTGCATCAGAACGTATAACTACTGGCATGAAAGGATGTGCGAAGACATGGTACAAACCTAGTTTGCTTAGGCCCCAAATAAACATATCCCCAGCTCCTTTCTCTCATTCCTGCAACTAAAATGGAGCTACCATTCACATCTCAGGCTTTTTTTATTAGCATCTTCTGATTTCAGCCAAATCCAACTCAAAACTTTCTGTGGATGGGGAGAATAAAGGGAGGGGGGCACGACAGGGGAAGATTTGTAGCTGCATGTTTAAGAAAGAAGCTAAATTCATCAAAATGACAGGGGAGAGTGTTGGCAGAGATTTGAGCTATTTATTCTTTTAGGAAAATCCTATAAAGAATGACATGAGGAAGCCTCTATCTGCAGTCTTGTTCATCACACTGGTGAGGAGTCCGATAACAGATGTATGCAGTAGCGTGATTTAGTGCCGGGAGCTGGCCCCTGATGTGTATTAATACAGCGGCAAAGCGGAACGAAACCCTCTTCATCACTCATCTCTATAAAAGAGGTGGAATCCGAGATGGCCCGATGTTCGGCAGAGCAAGCCCATTTGTTCTGCTGACTGATGGAGCCAGCTCAGGCTGTGTCCTTCACCTCCATGGGGCACTCAGGTTGCAAAACAGGAGATCACTGAAGCAGGACCCGGTCAACAAGTGAGACGAGATCAGTCGGACTCAGCTAAGGAGCTATTTAAAGGAGAAGAAATCTAGCACTGTATATGCACATCTATGCTGTCACAGGCATGGGCTTGCATTCTGATTCATCCCAGTGTTTCAATTTTTGCAGAAGAGAAAAGATTCCATAAACAGAAGAAGCCTCCGTAGCGAGAAAATGAGGCTGCCATGATTCCCCAGGGACAGGGGAACCTCCGTATAGCGGCTTATAGATTTTTCTACCTTGCATGCATCCACATCTGTCTCACCAATGTCTAACAAGCAGAAAAAGCTTTGGTTAATTCCATAGTGCTGCAGAGTAGTCCTGTGTATTTAATTAGGAGTTTGTAATTCTAGAGTCAGATCACCTTTGATGGAAATAGTATCATATTTCACAAGTTTCCAGGCAGCATGTGCAGGTTTCACTCCAGCTGCATTTAGACTAAGAGAATGCTGTACAAAGTCAGCTAGGACACATCTTCCTTTATCCAGTTGCAGAAATTTGCAAGTCAGTATTGTAGCAAACCCCACCCATAGGTGTTACATCGCTGGGAATATTTCTAAGCAGGACCTAAGGCAAAGATAGCATTTCTGACCATTAAAGATATTGCAGTACGTTTGCCATAAGTCGATGCACCAGCATCCTGCCCAGAATCCAGCCACTATGCTCTGCTTCCCTAATTTGCAATACATATTCTGTTTTTCCCCTGCTTCCTTCCTAAAACATTGTCAGGCCTCTATGCTACTTTCCAACTCTTGAGTTCCACTGCAGAGGCAGATTCACTTTTTGAAGAAGTGTTCTCTTTACAATATGCCTAGTCCATTAAGTACAGTTTAGATAATATTTTGACACTTACAGGCATAGAAATAGAAAGCGACTAGCAATGCAGTATAGAAATTACATTCTGAACAAAAAATAAAAGACACATAATAGGAGACAAAGAGACACTAGCACTTACACCACGAAAACCCCATACCTGGAACTGAGCATCTGTGGCTACTGATACACAACTTCACTAACCCTTTCACTACAGAAGCTTGAATACCCTACCATGGGATACTCAAAAGTAAGGAAAGAGTATCCTAAATCAGTCAATAACAAAATAACACATCTGCTGAAGAACAGACCGTTAACTTAAGGTTTTTAGTTTGTTGTTAAAAACAAAACATAAAGCACAGAACCATTCAGACAATCCATAACCCAGACCTGTGGGAGATCTGTGCTATCTCTGGAGAGAGAGCATGTCTGTCTTCCCTATTTCATTATTCTCCTGTCTCCCCACCAGCCCAATGAGGAGATCCAAATTTCACTCCTCCTATTCATCATCAGGTCTTTGGGACTTCCCTGCTCTTCTCCTATCACTGCTTTTCCCATCAACTCATCTACCTTCTCATTACTGCATTACAATAGTTTGTTACTGAGCTAGTTGGGAGAACACGGGTCACTTGACCACAAGCTGAATGTTTCTAGAGGTGGGCTTGGGTAGGAGGCCAGAAAGAGGTCTCCTAAAACCCTCTTTGTGCTGCAGATTT